CTGAAACATCGACTACAGTGGGTTGCTGAGCAACTGGATCGCATACTGATTGACTGATTACCTGCTGGGCTTGGGTAGAGACTACTGTTCCTTCAGTTCAGTGAACACTGACTTAGTGTTCACTATATGATGGACACTGAAGAAATCAGGAGAAAATCCAGGCAACAGGAAACAGCCCATGGATTAACACAATTGGAGGACACAGAGTTATGTGTATTAGACAAAGTGGTCCCTAAAACCCAAACAAAATCAGGCCAAAGTTTTGATGACTCAAAAGAGAAACTGAGGGGCTGGAGATTTAGCTCAACGACATAAGAGCCTGCCTTGCAAGCAGGCAGTCGTGAGTTCGATCCCTGGTACCGAAAAAAAAAGAGAAACTGAGACTCCTCAACATGAGGATGTCATCATAAATTCATTAATTTGGTTGAGTTAAAACAGGCATTGGACATTCACATGGGGAGAGGGGAGAGACATTATCAGAAATAGACAACAGCAGTGAAAAGGATGTGTTCTGTGCACCTGAGATGTTCTTTAGGCACTTTTCCCTTGATGGGACAAAATATCCAACACCCCACAATTTAAGGAAGATGACACTTATTTGGCTCACAATTTCAGAAGGTCTAGTCCATGTTTGGTTGATTCCAAGGTAGAAGCTACATTGAAGAAGAACATTGTGGAAGAAATCTACTTATCCCAAGAAGTCAGGAAAGAGAGAGAGAAGAGAGGAGTCAGACATAAGAATATACTCTTTCAGGCCATTTTCCACGCTGGCCCACTTCTCATTACAAGGCCCTGCCTGCTAAGAGCACATTCTGCTATGGATTCACAGTTGGATTAATTCATTAATGAGTACTTTGCCTCAATGATCCGATCACATTCTAAAAGCCCCATGTCTGAATACAGGAGACTTTGGGGGGATATTCTAGATCCAAACCATAAGAGAGATTCAGCAGACTAAATACAGACAAGGAGTATACACCTGGATGATTTGCTGTGATCTATCAGAAGAATCAACCTGTGGTGCTCTAGACCCTGAGATATTATGAGCTACTGATTCCACATGTAGCAAGTGATAAAGATATTTGAGAGATTTTCTAACCTAATGTTGCACCCAAAATTTTGAATCTTGTATTTTGCAAGGTAAGGTGTCATGCTGCATAGCTAAATCAAGAGAATTTATTTGTTCTATCATATATCACAGCCAACTGATTAAGCTGGTGATCTACCACCAAGATGGGCCAGCTGGAACGTAAAAAACTCTTCTGGCTCAAGAGTATATGATTCTACAGGCATTGAAAAATTCAAAATATTTCCAACCAAAATAAGTTATTATGAAACTTGTCACTCATAACCAAGCCATACACTCATCATAATTTTACATTCAGTTCCACTAAGAAAAAGGTTGTGACTGACTCTAGTTGTGAGTTACACCCAGGTCAATGACCATGACACATGACTAGAAAAAGCTGATTAGGCTGTGCTAGAATGAAATGATTTTTCTCTTGGATAATATGTCACTAAATGTAAGTCAAAATCACATTGGTCACTTGGAATAAAGACTACAGCTAAACTAATTTTGTTAACCAGTTCTAATCAATATTTATTATACTACACTGACTTAAAACACTAAAAAATTTAAGCACAGTGAATTTAGACTATATCTTAAAATCAATGACATATTAGAACTGTTATCAATTATGAGATAGCCATGACACAGTTGTTGAAAACTTTTTGATAAGATAAAGAAAATCTTATAAAGAAAAGTACAAATTTGATGAAGTACAGTTCAGTGCTCAGAGGCATAATAAGCAGTAATAGGAGTGCTCCATCCTGCCTGCCCTTTCCTGCATTTCCTGAATTGGCTTAGCTGTATGGGCAATGATAGAAGTCAGGAAATATTTGATGTAGAAAGCAGCACAGGACAGTGATTACCATTAGCTGGTTCTGAGTCCCTCTCCTGCCAACCCTCCTTAACCTTTATGCACATCAGAAGACATCATTCTTGTTGTCTTATTTTTAATCATAATGCCTGATTGACTATTATTAAATTGACTAATATTATATAATATTATTCATTTGAGGGTTTAGCCTAATAACACAAAAGTAAGTATTCACTAAATATAGCTATTATTGTTGCTTTAATGCCTTTGTCCAAAAGAAATATTTAGGAAGCAAGGATCAGGGGCTATGTCATTTGCTGCCTATGTCATTGATATTTATTACATTCAGAACAAGAAAGGAAAGGTGAAGGTAGAATTTATGCAATTATTGGCTATTCTGGAATTTATAGTCTTTCAATTAACCCAAAAATCTAAAAGTTTGAGCAGAATCAAATACTTCCATTTTATAATCTATTGGTGTCATATTTTACCTCGTGTAACTTTAGGTCAGGTTAGTTAAATATTGCTTTGACAACCCATGACTTAAATAGTATTTTTATGAAATCCTTTCACAATTTTGAAATCAAACAATTTTTATTGCTCATAATGGCATAACCATATGAAACAAGATTATTGTGCTAATATTTTGAAAGTTAATTTTAATATTCCATTTCAACCTGTGTTGCAAGATTTCTTTATATATCAATCATGAAAATAGAGTCTTTCCAAGCGCAACTTCCTCAAGCACCAGTGTGTTTCCCTACAGAATGCTTCAAATATTAGAAATGAGATGAAGACTTTTTAAGATAAGTAGCTTTGCAAAAGAGCAGAGTTGCTGACCCACATGGTCTCATCTAATCTTTCCCATTTGGGTAATTTCTATTTCAAGGAACAATTTTAACCCTATTATCATAAAATAAAGTTCAAATGATTATGATCAGTAACTCAAATTTAATTCAGGACATAACAGCATTAACTGGAGAGTATTTTACCCAGTTATAAAATCAGAATTAAAGATGTTTAACTAAGTATCTCACGAGTGTAATCCTTGTTGGTTATTCAGTGGCAGAGAGAGGCTCATTCTCTTGGAGGTGCTTCTGAGAACAGAAGACAGTTGTCACACAGAAGCAGTCACTCCCTGATGCTAGACTCCACAATTTCAAGGAGGATGCCATTGGGTAGACATAAATACAGCACAGTATTTAACAAATGAGAACTTTTATGGTTAGCTGCCTATCATAAAGTGGGACAGTTACACTCAAGGTCATGTGCTACAGCCAAAGTCTAAACAGGGTCGATAAATTATACTTTTCATTTGAAACTCATAATTTCCTTCATGAAGGACACTTAAATTTTTCCACTTTATTTACACATGTTTATTAGCCCAAAGCCTGAAATGCATAGATTTTTCTGCTTGACAAAGGAGTTTCTTAGTTGGATATTTGAGACACTATTTTCCCTTTCTCATTGTAAGTGTCTTGATAGGTACATTGTTACTTTTGTCACTTTAAATTTTCATTTATTGAGCTATTTCTAAGCATCCAAATGTAAGTTATCTAATTTCCACAACAGCTTCATGAGGTGGTTACTACTCCTTTTATCAGGTGGAGAAGAAGGAAGATAATTTAAGCAGCTTCTGCAAGGTCAATCATACAACTATAACCAAAAAATCATTTTCAGTCCTAAGACTGAGGTTATGTATATAGTAAAAACGAATTTAAATTTTTATTTCATGCCAAAATCACTAGGTACATCACTGAAGGTTTGGTGGCAAGGGATAGAGATGAGAGAAGATTTATCTAGAATATAACCTCATCTGCAGTCATGACAAAAGCTCTGGGCTAGAAAAATCTTTCTACTAGGCTCTCTGCTGGTCTTTCTTCTGGGCTCTCTGAGACGTCATGTAGAATTTGTTCCAGAATTTTCCCTCCCAAAGTTCCTTCCCAAAGTCTTTGATTGACAGCTTCCCTCTGGGGATTAATTTCCTCACATTTCCAAGCACAGCCAGAAGTAGTGTGCCTGAAATCTATACACCATCAACACTACCACAAAGTCAGAGGGGAATGCTGGGGATTTAGCTCAGTGGCATAAGCGCCTGCCTGGCAAGTGCAAAGTCATGAGTTTGATCCCTGGTACAAAAAAAAAAGTCAGAGGGGACCCAGGGAATGTGGCATATCTCCTACACATAGCAAACTATTTCCCTTGCATACCTTAAAGGTCTTGATTATTTATTCATTTTTTCTTTATCTTCTTATCATCTGCCTCTCATTAGCTATGGGTTCTGTAAGTGTGAAAACTCAGACTGTTATTTACCAGTGTTTCTTTAATACTATGAGCATTTTTCCTATTGATAATCTGCAGAAGATAAATATTGCTAAATGAAAAGTGTGATTATATTAGGCTTTCCTGCCAGTCTTTCTATGTGTGTTGAGTATGAGAAGCCTTTGCACCTTCTCAAAGACTTCTGGTCATTCCCCAAATGGAGTGTCTCTAAGAATAAAGTCCCTCTTCATGCATGCTGTCTCACGCTCTGATCATCTCAACCTTCTACTAGAAGGGTTTACCAACACACCTGGTCTCCTTGTGACCTACCTGAAGGTGACACCCTTTTTCTGTTGAGGTTCGCTTTACAAATAAAGGTTTGTTCACTCCCCAGACAACAGAAATCCCTTCTTCAGAATCAGCTTTCATCTGACAAGTGCATCTCTGGTCTCATCATGCAAAATTAAGAAGAAAAGAAAAGAGTGAAGCAATAATCATGGTTCTCGACATCATTTAAATCTCAAGCACAGTAATTAGGTACAGGAGACATTTACTGCATCCCTCAAATCTCACTAAACATTAGCCTCATTGAACACTAGATGACCTACCAACCCGCTCTCCTCCTCCTCATTATCACAATCATCACCAAAATAAGGGCTATCATTTATGAAGATTCATTGCGTGTAAAGGATCATAGAAGAATTTTGCTCATTTCAGTGGCAGCTTCATAAAATGAGTATAACTTCTCTTTGAAAGGCAGGAAACTTTGACCCAGAAAGAGGACTGCAAATCTGAAGTTACTAAGTGTCTTGGTTACGCTTTACTCGTCGCTGAGACAAAATACCTGAAGCCCAAAGCTGGGAAAGCAAAGGTTTATTTCTTACAGTTTTTTGGAGGTTTCAGTCCACACTCAGTTGGCTTCAAGACAGGCGGGCATGGCTGGGCGGCAGTTCATGGTGGTGGTTGACAGCCAGCAGGAACCAGCAAACGGCAAGACACACCTTCTTCTGCCATTACATCATGTCCTGGCTCCACCCCTTTGTGGGTGGAGCACTGACACCAACAATCCAAGCACTAGACAATGAATGAATAACAAATGCACAATTTAAACTCAAGAGGCCTGGGGGACACAGACATAAAGCATGACACTAAGCTAGCATGCCAAAGGTCAGGTTGCAGTGCCTTTTGCCTTTGAGTCCCTATTATATGGCAGGAACTTCTCCAGCAGAAACAGGGTACCAGGATATTGGGTTCACTGGAGGAGCAGATGTAATATAAAATATGTGAATGATTATACAAAGGCTTACTAAGTAATCTTAAAGTCTATAAAGCTGAAGAATCCCACTGGTCATCTGCCAGAGCAGAGTTGGAATAATGCAAAATGTCTACCCATGCTGGAGAATCTAATCAAAAGTCGCAGGCCTGAGAGTTCACTGAAGAGTCTTGGGTGAGCCTGTGAGAGACAGAGGCATCTGCATTAAAAGGATCAACAGCTTGCACACAAAGCCTGAAGGAACTGGACGTGAATGTACAGAGGCAATAACAAAGACTAGTGCTCCTCCAAAGAAAAAAGAGCAGATCCTTCTTTCATTTCTTTTTATTCTGTCGAGACTACAAACTTACTGGTTGCTGCTACCCGCATCCAAACTGAGTCTTCCATTCATCATAGAGCTCAATCATTCACAGCCATACCAAGAGATTTACTAACCTGTTAGGTGGTCCTTATCACATCCATTGGACAGATTACAGTTCATGATCACATGGGACTTCACCACATGTTGAGGGTACAGTAGAACTCAGTGTCTGCCTAGCCTCTGCCACTTGCTTCTGCCTATAACATTCCTGTGCCAAGAGCTAACCTATGTTATATTAAGCCTTGGTAGCCAGAGAAAAGTAACTCAAGACCTGGTTTGTTGCCATCATGGACACAGGACACAACACCAGTGGGATAAAGGAGAGGCTGAGAAGATGCACAAAAATGAAATAGCTGGAGGTTGGTGTGCTTACCGTCTGTTCTGTTCTCGTGGATTTCCAAAAAGCCTTCACATCTTCACAGGACACAGAAATTACCCATCATTCATCACCAGTATTCCAAAGACTTTACTTCTGTAAAGACAGGTCTCTCTAAGTCAGTCCCCTTTTTGCATGCTTCCTTAGGCTTTCGTTATCTTAGCCTTCTCTGTCTACAAGGATGGTTTATCAATAGACCTGGAAAGCTTAGATAAAGGAAGAAGAAAAAATTATGGAAGGCAGTGGGAAATATTGTTAGGGAAGACAGCCTATGTTGGCATCTTCTTTTGGAAAAGGTTAAAAGTACAGTATAGGGTAAAAGAATATTTGCTGATCTCTATTGTTTTTAATTGCATTTTGGAAAACATTTCTATCTATTCTTGTGGCATTTTGAGTCTTCTCTTGGTTACTTTTCTTATGAGGATTGCCTTTCAGGTGTAGTTTTATGAAGTAACTGGTTTCACAGTAGATCTATTCACTTTTCCTTAAAGAGACTGCCTTTGGTCTTGATTGCATAATAGTTAGGTGAGTTAGCTGAAAAAAGTTAAAAAGCTCACACAAATTGGAAACGAAAAAAAGTCAAAAGTTGTAATTATTTTCTTCATCTTTGGAAAGACCCCAGAGAGCTCCTAGCTTAAACTTAACCAGAGGCTATTATTATGAGCACTCTAGAAAGAGAATGAGTTTTTGCCCAATTCTATCATTTTTATGACAGATACATTTTTTTAAAGCCTTTTACAAAATGAAGTGGGTATTCTCAACATAGTTCTCAGTTCTAGAAGAGTAGATAATAAGTCCTTATTGAAAGAATGAGCCAATTATTAACAATAAGAGGTAGAAAACAAGATAGAAAAAAAGAGATAATTGAAAAATCATTATATTTATATTTAACTTCCATTAATTTTTGCAAGAAAGTTTTGCGGATCACTGGCAGTGTGTCAGTCATTGCCAGTACCAAGGCAAGAATGGCACTTAACATTCATAGAGGATTCAGACATGTTTGAAGCACTTTACATATATTAATTCACTTAGTCTTCATGATACTATAAGGCAAATACATTTTGCAGGTAAGGACACAGAGACACAGAAGTTAGTTAATTTGCACTAAGTCACACAGGTAAGAAATGGCCACAGTGGGAATTAGTCACTCTGGCTGCCTATCTGTCCACTTACCTTCTGGTCAGTACTATCCTGAGCAAATTGTGCCTCAGAGATAAGAAATAATTAAAGGCGTAATTCAGCAGACCAGGGTAAGGGTCTCTGAGAGAAAGGGGAACATCAGACCCCATCCAGAGAACAGGGGGAACATTAAATAGACTTAAGGAGACAGAGAGGAAGGGTTGGCAATATAAGAGAGAGAAAGGCAATTATAAAAAGCACTAAGATAACAAGCCTGGAAGACTCGGATTTTTAAAAAACTCAGAAAAACTGCAGTGAAGAAAAGAGGTTGAGATTGCAGGGGTGACGCTGAAGTATTCAAAGGCTCCAAATTTTGCAGAGCCCTTAAAACTCGCTGAAGAAAACCGGTACAGCAGATCACTGCTGCTGGCCTTTAAAAGATCTACCTGGGCTTCAAAGTGAGTCCAAGGCCAGCCTGAACTGCACAGTGAGACAAAAAAAAAAAAAAAAAAAAAAAAAAAAAAACCTGAGTTTACCATGGATGTGATTCAGTCAGACTTTCATGGAGACCTTGTGAGGTGAGTTTAGTAAAGATTCTCTGGTGGTTGAACTATGTTAGGAAGGTCTGGCTTGGAAAATATGGGGAGATACCAGGAAATTTTTATTTATAATATTAAGTTTGGAGTCCTGTCTACTTTCTAATTGGACTGTGCAAATACGACCATGGGAGAAGCTCATATTTTTCAGTTTTTTGAGGAGCTGCACTAAAGATGCTAAGCCAATGATCTACCACTAAGCAACATTTCCAGCCTTTATTTTTTATTCTGAGACAAGATCTCACTAAATTACTCAGATTGACCACAAATTTGCAATCTTCTTGCCTAAGTCTTCAGATTAACTGGTATACCAGGAGTGTGCTACCTTGTACAACAACTCTCTCAACAATAATAATAACTTTTTTTTGATGTAGGGTCTCTCTATGTAATAGAGGCTGGCCTTAAACTCATGGTATAGCTTAGGCTGGTATTGAACTTGCAGCAGCCCTCCTGTCTGTCTCATGAGTACTGGGATTATAGGCGCATGCCGCTATGCCTTCTTTCATTAATTCTAATGAGAATTTTTAAATGAAATTTATTTTACGATAGATTACTTCTATCAATGGGCCCGTGATTATGTGTGGATGGTTATATGAATATTGAAATATTTATATTTATTAACACACTTTGCACAATGTTTTTGTGTAAATGGAAACATTCTTGGAGGCTTTTCATTTGGGGAGATCAGGAGTAAGGAAGGGATGGGTACTGTGTTATAGTTTACTATGAAGAATAAATTTTAGTGTTCTATGGCACAGAAGGGTGAATATAATTAACAATAATTTGTTATACATCCCAAAATACTTAGAAGAGAGGAATATATTTACCCTATAGAATGATAGAAGTTATGCTAATTATTCTGAGTTAATAACTTTCATTTTTTTATTTAGAGAAAAAAAGCAAAATAGAAAAAAGTGAAGAAATAGAATTTCAAAAAAACAGTAAGAAATCACTAGGTGATAAATGACCTATCGCTATCTTAGAAGTAGTTGCTTAAGTCACAAAATCAAAGCACAAAAAAAAGTCATTGCAACAGTACAAACCATTCTGTTTGATGAATTAAAAAACTTAGTACTGTGGTTATCTATCTTGCACACTTAAATATACATACAGTTATATCCTTTAAAGCATTTTCTTTTCCTTTCATTATCACAATATCTATTATACATTTTGGATCTTATTACTCTTGCAGTTTTTTATTATTATTTTTATACTAGAGACACAATGTAGTATTTATAAATGTGAGTCTGACTTATTTCTAACATACACATAAATCATAATATTGTACCTCATGAATAGGTACAGATACACTATGTCAGCCAAAATGTAAAAAGTTAATAAGAAAATGCAGTGAGAATTCAAAAGAGAATCACAAAGGGATAAAGAATTTTAATGTAGAGCAACAAGGATCAAATTCTCATCTCTGCAGTGAAGCTAAGTATGAAAAATCTCATGATTGGGAAAAGTAGATTATATTGACACACTTGAGATTAGTTTATCCAACCTTTCTTTTCACTGACCTGGATTGAAAAGGAACTTTTGCCACATTATATTTCAAGGCAGAAGTGACCCCACTCTTCACTGAATTCACTCAACAAATACTGTACTTTTGCTTTGCTTTCTGTGCTACTTCTGGGACAAGCAGGACCCATACTTAGTATTATTTTCTGAGAATTTTTTTTTAATTTTCAAGACAGCAATTCAGAAAATGTGTAAAAGTTTGATGAAAGAAAAAGATTCATTCCTGTCAATAAATACAGTTTTGAAAGAGGTGTAGCAAATAATCATAATCTTTTTATAGAACAAATGAAATAATAGTGTCAACATACTACGAGATGTAATGTTTTCCAAAATGTCCAACCAATTGCCTAGGCATAACTTAGGAGAATCTGAATGTGAAGCTCAGAGTTATGTCTGTTTTGTATTATTCTGCCTGTAATTTAGCCAATTAAATCCTATTTTAGTGATTACAGCCATTTATTTTCTGCCGTTATGTTGTAATAGTAATGCCTAAATTGTTCTGTAAAGACCATTCACTTAAAGGAACTGTACTGAAACCATTTCTGGTACACACACACACACACACACACACACACACACACACACACAGAGAGAGAGAGAGAGAGAGAGAGAGAGAGAGAGAGAGAGTTATCCAGCGAAAGCAGATTATGCTTTTTCTGTGTTGAGCTATTTGCTGCTGCCCTAATTTAATTTTCCTAGTCACATTGTATTTTAGATTTCAGCCTTGCCAATAATCTAATAGCAACTTAAGAGTTCTACTATGAGGAAGTAAATATTAGTTGCAAAATTAGAATGCGTGTATTCTTACTTAAGTTGAAATTACATTCCTTAAGGAGTAAAATGATTTTCTCATTGCCTTGATTTTTACATTTTTGAATACTTTCTTAGTGTTCCCTGAACTGTACAATTGTCATTACTTCTGTAAGCTAAACTTTTAAAGAGTTTGCATTGCCAAAGAGTGGGGAACAAATATGAAGCAAGGGCATTTGCAACCACACTTCAGTGGCCTGCTTATTAAGAAATCAATTCAAAGGGGATACAGCTAGGATAGGATTTAATGTGACAGGGAGAGTGTATTAGCCTTTTGTCTCTGTGACAAACTACCTGAGAACAACAACCAAGTGAGCGAGGCTGTATTTTAGCTCACAGTTTCAGAGGTGTCAGTCCATGGTAAACAGACTTTTTTACTTCTCGGCTTGTGGCAAGGTGGAAACATCAGGGCAAAAAAATGTGATAGAACAAAGGTCTCACATTGTGGAAGCCAAAAGCAGAAAGATCGAGGAAAGATCCAGGAACAAAATATACCAGTTGTGGTAAAAACTGTGGTGGGTGTTTAAATTAAAATTTTATTACAAATAAAAGATTATACTATTAATCTCCCTCAAAATACTCCCCTTGCTCTGAACACACTTTTGTTACTTTCTGAAGCAGTTCTACAAGTAGTTTTTTATATATGTCTTTAGTTGCTTTACTATGTCTATCTCAGTGTCTTGATTTCACTCAAACATTTACTTTTTATAGATTTACTTTGGGAAAAGGCCAGAAGTCATGTGGTGCCAGATCCAATGAATGAGGTGAATGAGAACACACCACATATTTTCATAAACCTGTCTTTTAAAAGCCTGTCTATCCATTCTATGACATCTAGGATTTGTACAGTCATTACTATGATTTGTAATCGCACTTCATGAAGACACTCATGCAAGAAGACTTCCAGAACTGCTCTGAAAGAGTCAGGAAAGATGAGAACAGTGTGATCAAAGTAGTGGTGACTATTTTAAGAGAGATTAGTGGAAGTGTGTCTTTTACTGTAATAGAATTTTGCACCATGTATTTTGATCACATTGGGCCTTTGAATGCATGTTCCCAGTAACCTGCTTCCTCCACTTATGCCTATCCTCTGATGTTTCCACCACCTTCCAAGGGCGTCATCGTCTTTGCACCAATTCTTTTTCACACCTTTGGGAAGC